TTTCTTTCTTTCTTTCTTTCTTTCTTTCTTTCTTTCTTTCTTTCTTTTTTTTTTGTTTGTTTTTCGAGACAGGGTTTCTCTGTGTAGCCCTGGCTGTCCTGGAGCTCACTCTGTAGACCAGGCTAGCCTCGAACTCTCGAACTCAGAAATCCGCCTGCCTCTGCCTCCCAAGTGCTGGGATTAAAGGCGTGCACCACTACCGCCCGGCTGAAACACATTTTCTTTATCTATTCTTTAATTGAGGGACAGCTAGTAACTGGTTGTTTCCAGTTACTGGTCACTATGAATAAAGCTGCTATGAATATAGTTGAGCAAGTATCCTTGTGGCATGGTGGAGCACTTTTTGGGTGTATGCCCACAAGTGGTATAGCTGGGTCTTGAAGTAGAACTATTTCCATTTTTCTGAGAAACCACCAAATTAATTTCCAGAGTGGTTGTACAGATTTTCACATCCATCAGCAATGTAGGAGTGTTGCCCTTGCTCCACATCCTTGCCATCATGTGCTGTCTCTTGAGTTTTTGGTTTTAGCCATTCTGATGGGTGTAAGGTAGAATGTCAAGAGTTGCTTTGATTTGTATTTACCTGATGAGTAAGGATGCTGAACATTTCTTTAAGAGTTTCTCAGCCATTAAAGATTCTTCTGGTGAGAATTCTGTTTAACTCTGTACCCCACTTTTTAATTGGATTATTTAGATTATTGGTGTCTAACTTCTTGAATTCTTTATATATTTTGGATATTAGCCCTCTGTCGGCTATAGGGTTGGTGAAGATATTTCCCTAATCTTTAAGCCTTTGTTTTGTCCTATTGAGAGTGTCCTTTTACTTACAGAAGCTTCTGTTTCTTTTTCCTTTTTTTTTTTTTTTCCGAGACAGGGTTTCTCTTATAGCCCGGGCTGTCCTGGAACTCATTCTGTAGACCAGGCTGGCCTTGAACTCAGAAATCCGCCTGCCTCTGCCTCCCAAGTGCTGGGATTAAAGGTGTGCACCACCACTGCCCAGCTAGAAGCTTCTGTTTCATGAAGTCCCATTTATTTATTGTTGATCTTAGTGCCTGAGCCATTAGTGCCCCATTTAGGAAGCTGTCTCTCACACTAATGAGTTCCAGGGCATTCTCCACTCTCTGATCCATTAGATTGAGTGTATCTGGTTGTACGTTGAGTCATTTAATCCATTTGGACTTAAGTTTTGTAGAGTATGATAAATATGGATAAATAAGGATATAACTGGGTATTTGAATTTTCTTATATCTGTTGAGTTTTGCTTTGTGACTGAATATATGGTCAATTTTGGAGAATGTTCCATGAGGTGATGAGAAGGTATATTCTTTTGTGTTCTTGTAAAATGTTATGTAAATATGCTAGGTCCATTTAATTCATAGCTTGTGTTAGTTTCATTATTTCTCTGTTCAATTTCAGTTTTTAATGATGACTTGTTGATTGGTGAGAGTGGAGTATTGAAGTCTCTGAACATTTACATGTAGAGTATGATGGGCTTTTTAAGGTTTACTAATGTTTTGTATGTGTATGCGGTTGCCCTTGCATTTAGGTCATAGATGTTTAGAACATCTAAGATTGGATTTAAGATCATTTTCTTGTGCTTCCTCTATGTTGAAATATCCAGGGCTTGCTCTAGTAAGATAGGTAGGCTTTGGTGGTACCATTCTTCACTGGCTCTATTGTGTTTTTACATTAGCCATATGGTTATCCCTGATGTTGGCAAGATGTTGCTGGCAGGACTCCTTGGGGATGCAGGCAGAGCCATGGACTTGACAATATAGCTCAGGGAGTGGCACATTGCTCTTCTCTGCTGGCTGTGCCCCAGGTAGACATGAATGTTCCTGGGGCCCTGCAGGCCTGCTCTGTTGGGCAGAGCCTTGAACCTGATGATGTAACTCAAGGGAAGAGACTGAAGTTCACTGTTGCTGGCTGAGCCCCAGGGTTGCCTGGAAGGCAGGGGATTGGCATTGAGTGGTCTAACCAGAATATTTCTGGGACCTAACATATCTCCTCAGGAAGGCAGGCAGATTGGTGGGCTGGATGATGGAGCTGAGAGTACAGCATGCCATCTTTCATCTTATACTTTATATCTCATTGTCTAGGGAAGCCCAGGAAGACCACCATGGCAGAACTTTGAGGCAAGAACTGAAGCAGAGACCACAGAGGAATATTGTTTAGGGGCATACTTACCATACCCTGCTCAACTAGCATTCTTATGTAGTCCATGTCTACCAGCCTATGACTATTACTGCTTAGAGTAGACTGGGCCCTTCTCTATCAATTATTAGTAAGGATTGTTTCCTACACAGTGACAAAGGCTAATCTCAGAGAGGCAACGATTGAGGTTCCCTCTTTGCTCATGACTCTAGTCTTTGCCATATTAATAAGAGCACAGTGTACATTGTTCTTTTTTCCTGCACTAGTAAGTGGTCCATGTGTTATCTCAGTAGTATTCAAAGTAACATGGTTGGCAAGGTATTTTCTTGTTTTCCATTCTTCATGTTTGGAGCTCTCATTAGTCCCATGGACTGGAAAAATAACAGAAGATAGAGATATTGATGGAAGAGTACACTGCAGATGGTCTACAATGCCCACTTTCTAGAGAAACATAGGCCTGTGTTCATGATCGTCTTATGAAAGAAGTTAATTCAACAAGAACCGGTATGAGGCTTTCATGTCTGTGTTGATTCTATTGATCTGTTATGGTCATGTAATTTTAATTTTTTAAAATATTATTTATTTTATTTATATGAGTACACTGTAGCTGTCTTCAGACACAACAGAAGAGGGCATCAGATCTCATTACAGATGGTTGTGAGCCACCATGTGGTTGCTGGGAATTGAACTCAGGACCTCTGGAAGAGCAGTCAGTGCTCTTAGCCGCTGAGCCATCTCTCCAGCCCTAAAATTTAAATTAATAATCCATGTCTCCTCTGAGAGGGTGTGGTCCCCCCTGGGGTCCCCCCATCCTGGTGCATCAAGTCTCTGCCAAATTAGGCCAGACAAGGCAGTCCTGTTGGGGAATGCATACACAAACTTGGATGTCATAGAGCAAACTGCATGGAATGAAAGGAATGGGCCTCTCCATTTCCCTTCTAAACACTTATTGTTGTGCCCATATTAGTGTAGATGTTAGTGCTGCTATATTTGCTACAGTCTGCCTATTTGGTGGACACCTCCTTCCACATGGTGTTTGCTGATGGAGAGAGTTGCAATTGCTCAGGCTGCTAAGACTCAGTAGCTGTTGTTGTGGTGAGAGGGCAGCCTATTACCCAGAAATGGACAATGAATAAATCAGTCCTTGCAAGACTCAGGGATTGTCAGGCAAGCCAGAGTGGGGTCCTTCCCAGCAAAGGGAACAATTACTTGAGGGTATGGCTTAGAGAACAAGAGCAAGTCTTTACTATTATTACTGCAGATAGAAGATTAATATGTAGATTATTTGCAATTAAGCAAAAAAAGTCATTTGAAAAAAGGCAACCCAGTTTGTAAAGGACAAATAAAAAGACAATCCTCAAAGTTTTAATACAGAGCATGAATGCATAAAAGTGTGTGGATTCAGGAGGAGTCAGAGCAAAGTGTAGTGAAACTTCAGGAGATGCCATCCAAGGTCAGAGAAGGAATGACAAACACCTATGTGGGAGTGCACAGGAAGGAATTCTGTGCAGTGCTTGTGGGGTATGACATGTTTCTGCTTGTTTGGATGTCCCAATCGTGGGACATCCTAAAGCAAAAATCTGGCCTACCTCATGGCTCAAGTAAACCATTCCAACCACATGGTTCAAGCAAACCATTCCCCAAAACTGGACATGTTAGAAAGACCCTTGCCATCAGTGTTGATTACAGCAGTGTAACCAAGCTTGGTGTCCAACAGCATTGTCATGAGTGAGGAAAATGAGATGGACATAGAGAAGAAAGCATTTTAACCCATAAAGAAAATGAAGCTATGTTTTTACAGGACCTGCAGTCATCCTGAGCCAGGTGCGATGGCTCTACAGGGAACACTTGCCGTTCTTGCAGTCCCCAGGCTGAGTACCTACCAGCCTCATGGTGCCTTTCAACCTTCCTCAATGCCAAATCCACACGTCTGATGTCGTCTTCTGGCCTATGCGGGCACTGCCACATGTTGTTCCAGAATGTTTTCAGAGGAGACATACATGCAAAAGTAATATTAGATGGATGTTTTCTGAAATGGATCCAACCAGAGACAGACATACTAACTTAACTAAGCCTGTCTCAAAGTTAGTCGTCCTGAGATGTTTTCTCTCATATCTGGGTTCTAGATTGTATATATGTGTGTACATGAAAGCCTGTTTTTTATTTTATGAAGCAGCAGGAAGAGCTGTATCCTACACAAATTATAACTAAGAGCGGAGTGAGAGGTTTGAGATGGAAAGAACTCTGGTAAGAGCTGGAGTGTGTTAAGTTGACAGGAAAATCTATAGGAGACATCCCATATTCAGTGACTAGTATAGTGAAAATAAAAGCCAAGGAAAATAACTTTATTACCACCAGAGCTATGATGAATTGCTTTAATAGTAAATATATATTACCAGAGTTTTATATCATATGATGTAGTTATGTAACATATACTATTTTGTCAGTCAAAATTAACAATATCAAAGTTATGAGAATAACAACAAAGGCCTCTGTATGTACTATGGATTAAAGAACTGACAAATTACTCCAGTTAATTTTACTGGCTTCATATATTTACAAGTATTACAGAAAAATTGTCTGTTCATTTATATAAATGCAAACTCTACATATTCATCTACATAGCCACATATTTACTTATGTATCTACACATTTATATGACCTTTGAAGTCCTATGTATATATCTGTATCTGTGTCTACACCTCTCATTGCGTACATCAAAAGCACTATGTTACAAAGATCTACCTGGCCAGCTCTTACATTACATAGCCATAATATTGAGAAATTTCCATATCCTTCTCCCTCTGAAGGAAAAGCTGCAGTTTCCCAGAAGAGGTGTTCTTGGCAGCATTCTCCCGCTCCTGTTGAGCTTGCTTCTTTATTTCCTCCCTTTCTGGCCTCTGCTCTTTTGTGATGGGCTGTGAGATGACTGGTCCCAGAATGTCAACTTTCTTCCATGGAATTGGTTGGCGGCTAAAGTCTTGCAGTGGTTGTTGGGTTTGAGGTTTGGGTGGTGATGGCACCTTGTTCTTGGCAGCAGCAATAAGCCCTCTCTGGAATGAAGTGTGAGATGATGCTCTGTAAGGCACAGGCCTTGAGGTGGCCAACTGGGATGCAGCACTAGACTGTATGATATTGGCTACATTAGGTTGTGTGGCACTGGAGGAAACTGGAGGAGCTGGCTTGGCAGAGGCCATCAAAGATGTGCTGACAGGAGCTGGTTGGGCTGGCCTGATTGTGGTAGGTTGAGCTGAGTGGGAGTGAGGCTGCACAGGATAAGCTGCAGTGGACTTCTGTGAAGCCAGAGGGAGAGGCTTTCTAGAAGCAGATCTGGCTTGAGGCTGGTCCAGGATTGGGAAAGGCAGAGGTACTAACCTGACCTTTCCAGCTGGGGGCAGTTCGTACTTGTTTGGAGATGTACACTCTTTGTGAGCACTGGTCTCTGCTCTCTGAGCTTGGCCCGGGCTTCTGTCAGGGCCCTGGCCCTCACGTGGCATATCCAGGAGTGTTGGGGTGGCTGGGCCTGGGCCTACATCTTTGTTGCTAGTGAAGGTTCTCAAACCCCTGAAGGAAGAGATACCAGTTTTCTTCTCATTCTTCTTCCCCAGTGGATGGAAGACCTGCACGGACTCCAGCATGTGCATGCCAAGGTTGGTTCGAGGCTTCTTGAAGCAGTTGGGGCTGAGCTCAGGTGGATTCTTCTTCCTCTTGGTTTTGGGGATGGTGGGCTTCTCTTCTCCTTTGACTCTGTTCCTTGACGGCTTAAGCGCCTCTGGTTTCTTAGAGTTGTTCTCTGATCCACTTGGTCTTTCCTGCCCCTGTTTTCTAACTCTTCTGTTCTTGCTGGGGGCCACTTTGCGAGCTTTGCCCTTCTGGTTCTTTGCCATGCTTTCATTAGCTCTGTCACTGGCCCCAGCCACACACACAGCCCCCTCTCCCTCCACCAGGTCCTGGTGCTGGATTTTGGCCTGAGGAGCTCCATCAAGCAAGTCAGAGGCTTTTAGGTTATTCTTCCTCGCCTTTTCAGAGGTGTTGCTTGTGACTCTCCAGTTCTGAAGGGGAGGGTCCTGGTTGATGTTTTTGAGGGTTTTGAAGAGTTGGGGAAAGCGTTTATCTGCCTCAAGTGTAGTGATGTCTTCAAAGCTGATGTTGGATCCAATATCATTCTCCAGCTCCTCTCGCTCTTTCAGGCCCTCACTGATGCCTCCCAAGCTGGCATCGCCAGAAGCAGACTTTGGTCTTAGTCTTGTATCAGTGCAGTCAGGGTGCACTGAAGGAAGGAGTGATGGGTTTTCTTTAGTGTCCTCATAGACATCCCGAGGCATCGACAGCTCAGCTCTGACCTCATTCATGGTTTCATTCTCTCTTTGTTCCAGGCTTGGAGCTGGAGGCAAGGCCAGGGATTCCGTAGAACTGTGCTTGGGGGCTGTTAATAACCTGTCCGCATTGACAGGTGGTGTCCTCTTCTGGGAAACCTCGGTAGAAATATTGCGGAGTTCTGGACTTGGTAACAGACAGAATGTCTGGCCTGAAGGTGGCAATCCTAGGGATGTCTCCATGCCCACCACTGGAAAGAGTCAGGGAAGAAGTTAGTGCTGTTGAGTGTGATGCTCTTCCACTCCCACCCCCATTTCACAGCACCACAGCACTCAGGCCCTGCAGGAGGGTAGGCCACTCCTATGAGCTATGCTTGAACATCAAAGACAGCAACTCTTTTGGCAAACAGGTAGTGACTGCTCTGTTTTTGCTGACTATGCCATATCATGTTTTCTCAGATACTTTTGTGTTCCTTTGGGTTTGTGTGGTATTGGAGGCTTAGAATCTATGGTTAGGTTGCAATTTTTTTGATATATGTTCCTCACTTGCCTTCCCTTTTCCCATGATACAGTAATTCTCATCCTTGGGGTTTTGCTATTAGGCAGGTTATCTGGGCCATAATTTTCAAGAAATTACCTGACTCTGCCAACTTTTTCAGTTTAAAGCTTTACTCAAGCCCCCAAAAGCCTAGGTTTTTATTTATGTGGGTTTAGGTATCCAAACCCAGTTGGGCCGTCCTTCGAGAAAAGCATTTGAACAACTGAGGCCTTCCTCCAGCCCTATGTTTCACAGACTTCCTATAAGCAATATGCAAAATGATATAAGAAAATAAAATATTTGGGCTTGGCTATGACTCTAAATTAGAAAAAACATCTACATGACCTTATATTGTTGGCAATGGGTCACTTCTGAAGTACTACATAAAAAGAAAAAAAGAAAAAAGAAAAAGAAAAGTAGCTTTGACTATCTTAGCAATGGTACATGGTCTGTACCCTACTCTCTCTATAATTTGAAGTGTAAGAAAATGCCAGGACAGGTGCTGGGATCTGCCAGGAATTCTTCCTTCAGGACAGCTTCTGAGCTGCATTGCTCTGGAGAGGGATTCCAACAGACAGAAAATCCCATGTTACCAAAACAAAAAGTCCTCATTGTCTTCTATACCCCAGAGCAGTAGTTCATGAAGAGTCAGTTACAGTGTATTGGTGCATGGAACTGATTAACTTGTGTTATTACATGTGTGAGTGTGGTGTGCTCCTGAACACCACTGAATGCAGGATGGATACCACTCACTGTGGCCTTGCATTCTCTCTCATTCAGTCTGAAGATGGGGATGAAAACCAGAGCTCTAACCTGTAAAGACTCATAATCTCTGGCTGTGTGGAGTGTCCAGTACTGAAAGGAAGAACTGAGTGTCCTTGGACTTTTGATTATGTGTCTTCCCCTCCTGAGTTTGTACTTACCTGGAAGACTGGTGTCTGGCATATTTTGAGCAGACGCAGAATAGAAGTCAGAGGTGGAGATTGGTATTTGGAGATTCCTTGGCTGAATCTTCTTTTCCACCATCACCATCTCTGGTTGAGGGGCAGACTTCTCACTCACAGGGTAGGACACAGAGCAGTAGGGCTGCAGATACTGTCCTACTTCTCTGGGGATCAGGCTGTTGTGGTTGTAGTAGTACACCTGGCTGCCATCCTGGTAGGAAGGTGCCAGGCTGTATCCTTGATTTGTCACCTGCGGTGGTGTAACCTGGACAAAGCTGGTTAAAAGTGTTGGATAAAAAGGGGTTATGGTATTGGGATCTAAAATTTTATCACATTGGGCTGTCACAGACAGGGAGGAGACTGCAGTGTCCTGGTCAATAGTAGTCATATTGAATTCCTGGAGTGCATTTCCCCTGTCTTTGCTTTCTGTGAGATCCCACTTGAGAATACCTGGATAGAAGAGTGCAGAGGTTGAGTTCTGGCTCTGGCCAGTCAGCTCAACCACCATGGTCGTGCTAGTATGTGGGTTAAGGTAGGTTCTGCCCGTGATCAGCTGGAGAGAAGTGCTGGTGGTTGGTGGCAGGAGCCATGCTAAACTCACAGCTGGAGTGGAAACCCTGGAGATGTTGCACACCCTTCCTGAGTGTGTAGAGTTGCTACGCACAGGCAGAGAGGGCTGAAGAGTACTTTCTTTTCCCAAAAAAGGTAAACTTTGGAAATTTTCTGTAGGGAGGAAGAAGACAGTGGGAGAATGGTGAGATTGATGCTTTCTAGGTTCCTGTGGGGAACAATGCTATCTCCAGTTTGTACTGGCTGGGATTGTCTAAGACTGAAGTTCTCTCTCACATCCCAATTGCATGTGTTCAAATTGATTCTTGGTACTCTTCAGGATGACACTAATTTGATGAGCTGCCTGTTTATCCTCTGTGGGCATGGAATTCCTAATTGATCTCATTCAACTTTTACTCCAATCTAGGCATCTAGGCAGTCCTTCTTTGCCCTGGTTTGTCTTGCTCCCATACCTTCTCTGATACTACATCATTACTATGTCCTAAAGACATGTTTAGAGGTAAGAGAGCCACGGAGAGCTTAAGCCTCTTGCTTTGCCCTGTCCCATGCAGATCTCACTCTATGTAGTGAGACAGGTTCTCTCTACTATATCAGGCTAGCCTTGGAATCGCAGAGATGGGCTGCCTCTGCTACTGGAGTGCTGCTGTCTTAAGTGAGTCCCAGCCCCACCAGAATTGTCTAAATTCTATGATTTTTTTCTTTTAAATAATGATGCATGTAGGATTTCATATATGAATACTACAGTTAGCTAATTCTTCTTTCTTCTTCTAACTCCTCCTGTGCCCCTCCCACTCCTTTTATAATTGATGACTTCTTAGGATTTAAGTATAAGTCTTAAATGCTATGTTTATATCACTTTATAAATACTACCTGGTGATAAATTTTCGTGGAGCTTGCACATATTTATGCCTGATTTATTAGGATTTGACTTATTAGAAGGTTTTTTCCATGAATAAGATTGTTTCTACCTTTGTTCCATTAATTGTAATGTTTACAGAGTGGGAGCCTTGGTAATATCCAACATATCCAGTATATACAAGGATCAAAGAACTGCACAAGAGAGATATGGCAGATTGTAAGAGTCAGGGTTCAGAGTGGGGTAGTGCCCTCTATTTATGACAGGGAACCTGTACCCAGACAAATTTCAACAGTGAAGTTGCCTAAATAAGGCTCAAGAAATGACAATTCCTTGAGCCCTTTGATTTAAATCTGTGCCTCTGCAGCATTCGGTCCCAAACTCCCCATGTGCTTCTTTAGGATCATCTACATTTTTGACTTCTTTCATTTCTCTGTTTTCTAGCTCCTCATCTTTATACTTTGGATTTTTTTCTTCTTCCTAGTTCCTGTGGGTCTGTCTTTCATGTAAAAGCCTCAATATTTCAACAGTAACTGCCTCCTCAGTCAAGTCCCCTCTTAGTCTGTCTTGCATTCACTTGCCTCTTAAGATGCAACAGTTCATACCCCAGAGCATAGTGATACTCTAATCCCCCTGAGATGGATGAAGAAGCTCTTGAGAGTAAACTACCTGTCCAGAGTCACACTCTTAGTAAGAACCGAAGCTAAATGTGACATTCAATGTGAGATATCTGTACCTATAGTGCCCTTAGTCCTGTATGGATTTTAAACGAATATTAAAAATCAGGAAAGTTGTGATCAAAACCAATGTTTTAAAGTTTTGTTGCTTACCTGACATGGTTGTATGGGGGGGAGTAACAGTAATCTACACAAGAACCAATAGAACAAATGGTTGTCTTTTCTGATCTGCTAACCAAACCAGCGAGTGTGTCCAGTATCAGACAGAGCCCACTGGTCACTGGTCACAGGTTACCTGTGATGATCCAAATTTGTTTACAGGCAGCTCCACGGAAACCCCAGGATTCTACTAGTGCTGGTAGGCTAGGAGGGAGAATGATGTCATAAATCAAACAGTAGCCAATTGGAAGGTCAGATTCTGAGCTCCAAGACAGGATTGGGTGGAGAAGATGCCAGAAGACCAGCTTCATCCATGAAGCCTGAGTTGTATGCTGATCAAAGAGTTAATCTTGGGATGGCAGTAGCTCTTGCCATGACTTTTAGCCCCTGAGATCATAGCTGTGCTTTTGATAAGGTTCATTGATAAAGGTATTTATAATGTGCATATGATATATAGCATTCCAAAAGATTGTATCCCTTCAGTGCCCGTTGTATACTCAGACAGTACACTTCAGCAGGAAGGAGAGGGGCATATAGGTTGGGGCAACTTAGCTGAGAAACTATTTCAGTTGATCTGAGTTGTAAGTTGTCAGTATCTGTCTATGACCAAAGGAAGAAGCTCCATTTTGACAGTGTTGGAGGGAAGGGTTGTGGAGATTATGAATGCGAAGACTCTTCTCTTTCAGTTTCTTCTCCGGGAGTCCCCTTTTCAGCTGTTCTGACCCAGATTGACCTCACATCTCTCTTCTCTCCTCTGTAGACTTTGATCCTTGGATCAACTTGACCCTGAATTCTTACATTAGTGGGTGATACCACTGAACTTCCAGAAGCAGTGGTCTTCATTTCATCAGGCAGATGTTTATAGAGTGTGTTCTGCCCTTATAAGCAATGAACAGAGGAACCAAAGATATGGCTGGTTGCATGTGTTCCCTTATTCAGACTTTCTTTCTCTTCTTTTGCCCATATTCTGCTTTCTGGTTATTTTTCTCTCTTCTTTCATTTACCTGAGATAGGCTTTCCTCTGTAGCCCATGTTCTCATGTAGCTCTGGATCTCACTGGTCATCACATCTGCCCTCAGACTCGTGGACATTCTTATTGTCTTTGCCTCCCTGTTTTTAGTGTCATGGTTGTGAGGTCCTCAGTCTGGCTGCCTTCTCTGTCCCCAACTGAAAGGAGTGTGGCAGTTCCTATAGCTTCTTCCTTCTTGCAACAACTTCTGTAGAATTCTGGCTTTCTCTCATTCTCTGTCATGCTTGTGTCTGAGACCCACCTACACAGAGAGGGAAAGGAGAAAGAAAGAAGTGGAAAAAGAAAGAAATCCTTAATTAGTACAGGGTGTTGGGTTACACATAAAAAGCAATGTACGTACTTTCGTTTATTGGTGAATAAAAAAACCAATCTTTTTACCTTCTCAGTGTATCTTCACAAACCTGAATGTTTTTTGGCATTTTGTAAACATATATGCAAATCTTGTGTCTTTCCTTTGTGTGTGTGTGTGGGTGTGTGTGTGTGTGTGTGTGTCTCCCCGGTAGGTTCATAGACTATGTATGGATCATGGCATGGGTCTAATACTCATTCATATGCCATCTGTAGTCTAAGCATGGCTTAAAGCACTAACTCATGTGACTGTATCTAGAAGTCTTTATTAAAAATGACACTAGAGCCACTTAAGCTGTCCTCCAGCAATCAAATGAGGCATTACAACAATCACTGTGGGGCTTTCACATTGAGCTAGTGCTGTAGCTTGTAGCTGCATGTTTGCTTCACAGAAATGTCCCTCCATGTAGGCAGTGCAATGTTGTATAGTTCTAGGCAAATCTCTGCTGGAGGCACATGGCACACAGCACTCAAAATGAAATTCCTTCTTGACACGTCACTTGTCAGATAATGAGACACATTTACTAAGGCTATGCCGGAAAGTAGGCTCCTAGTTGTGGATGTTTCAGAAACCAACATTGTCCTACTGCAGCACTATAGACCCAAGATATGTAGACTATCATCAGGACTAAGAGGTGGATCAGTCTGCAATGAGAGAGAGAGGAAGGAGAGGGAGAAGCAGAAGGAGGAAGAGAGAGATAGAGAGAAGAAGAAGAAGAAGAAGAAGAAGAAGAAGAAGAAGAAGAAGAAGAAGAAGAAGAAGAAGAAGACTGTTATTTGTATTTATTTTATAATCCCCTAATTTCTGTGCATTGTTTTAGTATTTTTCAATTCATTTATTTACTTTTCCTATCATTGAAAATAGATTATGTTCTCATAGAATATATCCTGATGTTAGTTTCCTCTCCCTCTACTCTGTCTTGCCCCAAGTACCCCTGTCATCAGTATCCACTTCTAAGAAACAACAACCAAACAATTCCAAAGAAAATAGACTGAGATGAAGCAAATCTCTCATTCCCAAGTTGGACATGGTGAACATGGTTACTGTAAGTCAAAGGGTTTTTTTTTTTTTTTTTTGCATCTACTGAGATGATTGAATCTGTTTTGTACCAGTTTGTTTATATGGCGGATTACATTGATAGATTTTTGTATATTGAACCATCCCTGTATCCCTGAGATGAAGTCTACTTGACCATGGTGGAATTATGTTTTTGATGTGTTATTTGATTTGGTTTACAAGAGTTTATTGAGTATTTTTGCATCAGTGTTCATAAGGGAAATTGGTCTGAAATTCTTGTTCTTTTTTGAGTCCTTTCTAGCTACCAGTGTCTCTAGCTTCTTTATGAATGCACTCACACTATGTTCTTTCCTCTTATCAGCACTTTCATTGTTTCCACTACATTTGGGTATGTCGTGCCTTCATTTTCATTGAATATTAGAAAGTCTTTAAATTTTTTCTTTATTCCTTCCTGGCCCAGTGATCATTGAGTAGCCAATTATTTGGTTTTCAAGAGTTCGTAGGTTTTCTGTTTCCTCTATTGTTGAAGCTGTTTTAATCAACGGTGATCTTATAAGATGCAAGGAGTTGTTTCAAACATCTTGTATCTGGTGAGGCTTGCTTTGTGACCAAGTATATGGTCAGTTTGGGACCCCGAACCCCACACCAGTCCCATCCTCCTTACCTCTCCTACCCAGTTCTCCTCCTCTTGTCTAAGTGTGTTTCCAGCATCCTCACTTGGGCCTTCCTTCTGGTTTATCTTCTTTGGGTCTGTGCAGTGTAATGCAGGTAATGTGTTTTATGGCTAATATCCATCTATAAGTGAGTATGAGTAAGGACATACATGGTCTTTGGGGCCTGGGTTGCCTCATTCATGATGATATTTTCTAGTTCCATTTGTCAGCAAAATTCATATCCTTGTTCTTACTGGTTTAGTGGTATTCCATTGTGTAAGTGAACCACATTTTCTATATCCATTCTTCAGTTGAGGGGCATGTGGGCTGTTTTCCGTTTCTGGCTATTATGAATAAAGCTGCTATGAACATGGTGGGGAACATGTCCTTGGGGTATGGTGGAGCATCTTTTAGGTATATATACACAGGAGTGGTATAGCTGGGTTTTCAGGCAGATTGGTTTTCAGGGTGGCTGTTCTAGTTTACACTCCCACCAGCAATGTGGGAGTGTAACTTTAATTTTTTTCAAATGCCTCTTTTTAAAATTATTTTATTTATTTACATTCTAGCCATTGCCCCACCTCCCAAACCCACCTCCCACCGCTCCTTATCCCACTCCTCCTCCCCTTTACCTGAAAGAGGGTGCTTTCCCCCAATAGGCCTCCCCCTTCCCTGGGGCCTCAAGTCTCTCAAGGATTAGGCTCATCTTCTCCTACTGAGGCCAGACCAAGCAGACCTCTGCTATATATGTGTTGGGGTGGGGGAGGGGCTCAGAGAAGCTCCTATGCTGCCTGGCTGGTGGCACAGTGTCTGAGAGCTCCCTGGGGTTTGGGTTAATTAAGACTGCTGGTTTTCCTATGGGGCTGCCCTTTCCTTTGCTTCTTTAATCCTTTCCCTAATTCAACCATAGGGGCCCCTGACTTCAGTCCAGTGGTTGGGTGTAAGTATCTGTGTCTGTTTCAGTCAGCTGCTGGTTGAGCCTCTTCAGAGGACAGCCATGATAGGTTCCTGTCTTCATGTCTCTTCTCCATTTTTGTCTCTGCAGTTCTTTTAGACAGGAACAGTCCTGGGTCAAAAATTTTGACTGTGGGTTAGTAACCCCATTCCTTCACTTGAGGCCTTGTCTACCTACTGGAGGTGGACTCTCTGAGTTTCCTCTCCTTATTGTTGGGCATTTTGGCAAATGTCACCCACATTGAGTCCTGAGAGTCTCTCACCTCCCAGGTTTCTGGTACTTTCTAGAGTGTTCTCCCCCACCCCAACCCCTGCATATTTCTATTCATTCTCCTGGTCCTCTGGTCTTCTCTCCCCTTCCTTCCACCCCCCACCCCCATGCCTGATCCTGTTCCACCTTTCCCCTCCCCCTCCCTTCTCTCACCCAGGTCCCTCCCTCCCTCCCTCTGCCTCCTGTGATTATTTTCTTTTACATTCTAAGTGGCATTGAAACATCTTCTCTTGAGCCTTTCTGCTTGTTACACTTTTTACGGTCTATGGGTTGTATCCCAGTTATTCTGTACTTTTTGGCTAATATCTACTTATCAATGAGTACATGCCATGCATGTCCTTTTGGGCCTAGTTTAACTCACTCAGGATATTTTCTAGTTTCATGCATTTGCCTGGAAAATTTACAATGTCCTTGTTTTTTAATAGCTGAATAGTATTATTCCATTGTATAAATGAACCACATTTTCTGTGCCCATTCTTTGGTTGAGGAACATCTAGTTGTTTCCAGCTTCTAGCTATTACAAATAAGGCTGCTATGAACATAGTGGAGCACGTGCCCTTGTGGCATGGTGGGGCATCTTTTGCATATATGCCCAAGAGTGATATAGCTGGATCTGCAAGTAGATCTATCTGCAATTTTCCGAGGAACCTCCAGATTGATTTCCAGAGTGGTTGTACCAGTTTGCAATCCCATCAGCAATGGAGGAGTGTTCCTCTTTCTCCACATC